TGTTATTTTTATTCTTCTATCTAATGGTAATAGTCTCGGCCTCATGACAAAACCTCGACTCGCTGCGCCGCACAACCCAAGGTACGACCATTGAAGATGCGGTCGTTCTCCAGTTCCACGTACACCAGACCACTATCGTAAAAAGTACACTCCAGTTCGCATAGGTCCCTAGTCGTGGTACGGTGAGGTTTCGGGTAAGCTACGGCCAAGAGGCGGCTCAAAGAAGCCGTCAGCATGTACCACCGGGAGCAGCCGCCGTGACAACTCACTTTCTTATCTTGACACCAACCTGAAGGTTTTGTTGTTTCTTGCCCTTCCCTACGACCACTCTCAAATCACGCTCGTCATGCTGAACATCCTTCAAAGCAGAAACTGCCCATGGTCGCTCCGTATTGTGCGCTCCGAAATTGAAGCTCGGGGTTGTGTCCTGGAGTTCTTCTCTACCCAAAAGCTCAAAACGTGTGCCCATCCCGGATGTTGGAGGCGGGTTGTGGGAAGACGGTTTCTCAGCCCCTCCCTTATTGCGTCGCGTGTATGGTTAATGGTTTTGTTGTGGGACTTGGATCCATGGTTTATACTCCTGCATTACGGGCATGCTTCTCTTGTTGGGGCAGACGGTGAAGGCACGACCTACCCGAATGCCCAATCCAACCAGATTGGAAGCAAATATTATGAAGATTCTCATATACCACACATTGTTGCCTCCCATTGATGGAGAAGTTGCCACATAGCGGTGTAGTAAGGTCAACTAGTACCGCAAGTATGGCAAATTTTCTTTGGGTGAGCGCCGCCGTCTGCTGGTCGCCTTGCCCACTACACGACAAATCGTCTAAAATATTTTCCTGTGGTATAGATGGGTGGCAGCTCGGTGTTGTAACCATTTTTGTTGCATTTTTCGCTATATTTTTGTTCTTCTTTTCCCCTCATTTTTCTTCATTTTAGGTTATTTCGTGAGTTTTTAGTTCGTTTTGTATTTTATTATGTGTTTTGTTCTATTTTGGTTTTCTTTGTGTTTTTCGTGTGTTTTTCCAGTTTTTCTTTGTTTTGGGTGTGCATGTCGGAAGTCTCGTGAGGAGTTGATTATAGACCGGGCAATCATGGTTATGTAGATGGACTCGTTGGCTACACATAGAAAAAAAACGGAAGTTGATTTCGAGTTTGGATGAATCCGGACGGAACAAAAACGCGAAGCCGCGCAAGTTACCGACCCTTTAAAGGTTGAAAATTCCACATAATTTTTACTCTAGGCAAAAGTATGGTTTGCAAGCATCGGATAGAGGGGTTCATTAGCTACGCGTAGGAAAAAATGGAATTCAATTCCGAGTTCGGACGAGCCCAAAACAAGCCCGAGAAGCAGAGCTGCCCGAGACGTGCGCGAATGCGCGCGGAAAAATCACTTTCGGTTTTGGTCCGAAGATTCCATCTTTTATCTCAAATTTCCTATCTTGTTTCACATTTTCTTCCATTCTTTCTTGGTAGATGAATTGTGGTTGATTTTTAGTTGAATTGTGGTTATTGTCGGTAAATTGTGGTTGATGTTGGTGGATTATGGTTGATGATATGTCTATAAATAGCTCCATCATCTAACCAACATCTATCCCTCACAATCCAAAATATTATCATCCTCACCACTACCATCATTCTTATATGTTGTCTTAGATTAGCTTCTCTTTTGGTTGTGAATTTTGGAGGTGTTCTCCAAGGCTTGTACTTGTTCCGGTGTGGCGTGCATTTGTTTTCGGTTTGGCGTTTGTATCAACTTTATTTCTCGACTTGGATTACTTGTAAGTTGTTTTTCTTGTAATGATAATTTGCAATGAATCTTTTTATTTTTTTTTATATGAATAGCTAAATCATTTGCTAGGGATAGGGATGAATATTTGATTTCGTATGTGATTATCGTACTCGTCGATTGTTCACTTTGTATGAGTTAATTCTAAATTCGGTTTTTGATTTTTACTTTGGAATGACATATTGTTGAAAAGTGACAATTCAACCTTGCAATTGATTTCTAAGTATTGAAGAGTGACACTTCAATGTTAAACTTGTTTTCAAATTGAATATGATGTGTTCTATTGTGACGATCACTATCCGAATAGACTAGACGACTAAAAATCCTATAGTCTATTTTAATTGACTCTTGAACCGAAAGGGAAGAGGTCACTCGATCGAGACTCATACAAAATAGACATAATCCGAAAGGTATTGTCTATGTGTTAAACAACTCGTTAATTTACCGTTTATATATATTCTCATAATCCAAAAGGTATTGAGGATAAATATCTAAACGTGTAGGTGACTCGAATTTTTTAACCGAACAATCACAAGTCGATAATTGCATTTTGATTCAAAACATTTATTCTCGATTCCCTAGTATCTTTCGCATTTTCTCCATTTATCATTTTAGTTGTTTTATATTATTTATAGTTAATAATGAATCATTATCAATCTATCTTGATTAGAATGTTTAGGATTTATTTTGTTTTTATGTGCTATTAATATCAATTCTAAATTTCGAATAGTCTTCCTCAAGAGAACGACCCGGGAAACGAATCATTTGATTCGGTGCTCGGTAAAATAAAAATAATTTGTACACAACACTCGGGGAGCCGGATCCACACTACAGTAGACGTTATTTCCTTATTCATCGCATCAAACTCCAGGCTCCACGATTGTACGTGCAAGCAACCATTGCGACAACATAGGGTCCTCCAGTCGTAACCTTGACTGCATCATCAATAGTACGAAAGTGGATAAGGTAAAAAACTGTTCTCGAGGTCCATCATGTTACATTCCGACATAGAGGGCAACATCTTGGTCAAACATTCATCAAAGGGTTTAAGTTTTAACCACCACCACATTCTTCCATTCCTGGGAGATACGGTCGAAAAATCGTTGCGCAATTTTGATAACTGACATCGGACGCGAGATTATATCACGGTAGGACCATCGCTGTGGGGAAGGTCATGCGAAGTAACAGGTGCAAACAAGGTCGAATTTGGGGAAACTGACGGCTGTTTGGTGGGTTGTTGGGGTCCCATGAAGTCTCCCGTGCGAGTACGAATTCTTCAGCGTTTCG